GCATTATAGACGTTAGGTGTCTGTTGGACTGTTTTCATTTACCACTTGAAAATAGTTTCATGCTGCACAGATTTAAACTGTTAAAGGGGAATTCCACTAATCTTTCTGTATGATTTGATCAGTAAGTTGTTAACAAAGTCACTTAAGAGTGCTTTGATATGAAATGCTCAGTTGTAGAGAATCTTATCAAATCAGAATTATTCACAGTAGTAGTGACAGGAACCAGACATCCAAAGAGTTTAATGCCTCTCCACAAAGTACCTCACAAAGTTATCACATGTAATGGTTATGTATATGCTGCCTGATGCCTAAGACATTGTTTTATGATATTTGTAAAACAAGCATATGATTTTATGATATACATACATACACACACACACACACACACACACACACACACACGTGTATATATATAGGCCAAAAGCTTGTTCTACAAAGGTCAGGCATCAGGCAGCATATTCATAACCATTTCATGTGATAACGTGACAGCTTTCTGTGAGGTAGTTTGTAGAGAGACACTAAACTCTTTGGAGTTTGCTATCACATATAAAAACTCAGTAGATGCATGTGGGCTCATTGGTTATTTGGGATAGCAAATAAAATGGCTATATTTGACTTGTAGACATCACAACCCTTGGTTCCTATCACCATCACTGTAAAGAAATTAGTATCAAAAAAAATAAAAAAACATTTCTGAGCTATAATAGAAGTAGCTAAGCATAAAAGTAGATTGGGCTTAATAAAGCCTATATTAATCTGGAAATATGCCATGATCAATTCTGTAACCCATCATTCAGATTGGATTTAGGCAGCACTTATAATTGAGCAAAAGCACTCTGATATAGAATTAATGTAGAAAAATGTGGCCTTAGTTTCCAGGTGATGCTTTGTATATTTGAGCAGTATGTTTAGAGACAGTAAAGTTAAGCAACTGACCTCCGTCCCTCATCCCTTATGACAAGCCCTTCTGTTTATGCCCCTACCCCCAGGTGTTGTCACAGGACCTGTTTCTCCCCCTGTTGCTCTGGAGATGGGGGTGGGCCTTTTGTGCCAGCTGTTCCAGGTGTGGGGCCAGGTGGCTGTGGGCATAATAACCTTGACCGAGTGGCTGCTGGGAGATGATGAGGCAGAGCTGGGCAGTGAAGAGACACCTGACTTGGTAAGGATGCTGTGGTAGTGCATGCTATTGGTTTTTCACTATATAATGCTATATAATTAACAATGAAAGCTTATGACCATCAATTACTGTTAGGCAAACTGCATGCCTAAAAATCATCACAAAGTATAACTGTAAACTGTATGACATATTGTTACCTACAAAAGTGAACATGAAAGGCTTTGCCTGCACTTCTGTTTAATTTTATAGATAACAGTGTGTCATACACTATCAGAAACTACATCAGCAAGTCTGTTTGAGATTACTTAACACGTTTTGAGATGAGTTGTGATGATTTAGGCTTGCAGTTTGCACAATATGGTGGTCATTAGTTTCACTTACTTGGTAGCAACATACACCTCATAGGTCCATAGAAACAAGCTCACTTTAGGCATCTAACATCTTGGATGACCAATGACACTTTAAATTATGTGTAAAATTATGTGAATTTGGTTGAACTAATGCTTTAATTCTGCCCCCTCTACCTTGTACAGGATGAAGAGTTCCTTTTTGAGAAGGGAGACCTGAACCTGTGGGTGGAGCCTCTGCAGTGGGCGCAGCTATTGCACACACACCTGTGTGCCCTCTCCACAGTGCCAAGCGCACCTGCTGTCTGGCCAGCAGAACTGGCCCGCCTGTCCACCATAGCAGACGCCAACGCACAGTCTGCTGGACGGGCGCTGTCAGCCCTCCCTGCACTGCCCCAGTTCTCCGCCACCATAGAGCACGCTAAACTAACTGTGCTGAAAGAACGGGCCACGTTAGCTCAGAACGTGCTCGCTGCATTGAAGCAAATGGACTGTAGCTAGAGTTTTCATCCCTCTCTCTGTCATAGTTAACAAATTCTAGTAACAGAAATAAGACAATTTACTGAAATACAAATGGAAAGAACAGTCAGGGCATTTTAGAGGAGCTCACAGGGACACAAGGACCTTTTGGCTAGTGACCGCATTTCCGGTTTAATGTTCCGGCCAAGAGCAGCTGATGTCAGGCAAATCCATTTTCTCTGTGACTGCGTACAAATATTATGATTATTTTATAATTTCCTCCCTGTCTTTGAAGGAGTTTTATTTCTTCAAGACCAGCCCGGATCAGGACTGTAAACATTGTTTTAGCATATTATGAATTCATTTTAAATGCCTGGTGAATTGCGTGCTTTGTTAAAAAGTGGAATTATGTGCAGGCATGATGCCACAAACTGTTTTTCATCAAAATAAAAAGACTAGTTTTATTACATTCATTTGCCTGGGGGCTGACTCGTACACATTTATATGGGAGCGCGTGTCCGAGTGAGTGAGTTCGCATGTCCGCCATGAAGATGAGAATCGTCTTTATGAAACATCTCTACTTTCTTCTGTCGCGCTAAAAGTCTGAGAATGGGGTTAGCAGCTGCACCACAAAAATCTGAACTCGACCAAGGCCAACTCTATTTTCCACCCCTGTGTTTTTACCACGCTTTCACACGTTGGTGTGGTTTCTGTCTTGTACAGAGTGTTGTATATTTTATTTTATTTTATTTTTTGCCCTGATGCACACTTTAGCCCAGTTCCTAGAAAAAGGCAGCTCAGCCCATCTGTGGGCTTGTTATGCAATCATGGAGCATCAGACTAGTGGCTGTTTGGTCTGTAGACAGCAGGGTCGCCTTCAGGCCCGTAGTTGTAATGTTCTTTATTACTGTAAAGTGATGTAATGTTTTGGAACGGTCCAGCAGAGCTGACCCCTTTCCACCCAGTGGTGGGGCAGTGTGGGGATAAAACAAAGTCACTGTCAGTTTTTGACGCCCTTGACTTTGTGCACAGTGCAGTCAGAGCCACAGACTAACATGTGTGTTACTTAAGTTGACTTTAGTGCAATATAGAGGAAAATTATATGCAGATAGCTTGTGGGAACCAAAAAAGAAGAAAAAAAAACATGCTCTGTACTTTTAAAGGGCTCATATCCTGTATTATTTATGTATTTTATTATTTTCCCTGAGGTCAACTTTATAGCATTTATGTGGTTCTATATACCAGAAACAGAGTTAATTTTTATTTTACCATCTTATTTTATCTTTTGGAATAACACAGGCTGTTTTTATTTCTGTCCCTGTAAAGTTGGTTCATATAAATAAGCTTTACTCTGATTGCACAACAGGCTCATACAAAAAGCAATCCAGGTTGAATCACTCTAACTTCAGTATGATTGTGCAGGGGTACACTGTGGTAGGACAGATACAGTGGGGTCCAAAAGTCAGAGACCATATTGAAATTTTAATTTTAATTGAATTTTTTTTCATTTAAACCTAGAAATAAACAACAGAATTTTTTGTAACATTAAGAAATTTTAAACCAATAAGCATTATGATAATCCAAATGAAGATATATTCAAGATCCTGCGCTGTTCCTAGATCACTACTCAAATTGAAGCAAATTTGTATAATTGACCATGTTCAGGCCTTTGTACGAAAAGGTAGAAAGCAAGCAAAGTTTATTTATATAGCGCTTTTTACAACAGGTGTTGTCACAGAGCAGCTCTACAAGGAAATCAGCATTACAGAAAGAAATCCGAGTCCAAGCCCCCATGAGCAAGCCAGAGGCGACAGTGGCAAGGAAAAACTCCCTAAGAGAGACAGGAAGAAACCTTGAGAGGAACCAAGACTCAGAAGGGGAACCCATCCTCCTCTGGTCGACACCGGATAGTAAAACATTGTTAGTATAAAGAAAAGGTGAGATTTTTGTAGTCTTATTCCTTTAATTGAAGCTTGTGTTTAGACAACTCTCTGGTGGATCTAGTCATCGGAGGCTTTTGCACGAACCTGTGAAGTCCGAGCCAGCTTGAGCGCACAATGTCATTAAAGCAAAGGATGCCAGGTGCCTAATTCAAGCAGATAGGTAGGTTTAAAAGACTGAGCTCCTGGGCACAAATAAATTTTGAATATTTTAAGTATTCATGTAATATTTCAAGGACTACTACAAGCGCCTGTATTTTACTGATGAAGTTTTTGCATAATTTATAAACAATGGCTAGTTTGTGAAATAGCACAACATTAATTTAAAAATTTCTCTGGCCCACAGATTTGTTGAGATTTTTTTAATATGGCCCTTTTACTGGAGTTTGACACCCCTTCTTTAAAGTGTGAAAAATTGAGTTTCACATGATATGTGCGCCTTTGAACTTCCCATCTTGGGCAGTAGGTGGCGCCCAAGGCGCTTTGTTTTTAAACAGAACCCCTGTGCACCCATAGGGGGCAGTATTGGATCGGTTTAATCTGAGAAAGAGAAACAAATTCCTTCACATGATCTTTTGTTTTTTTGTCCTGCGCCTGGAGGAACAGCGCGCATTTCGGGGATATGACTGTCGGAGCGCAGACCAGGACAGCGGCCAGTGGGTTTTTTGGGGGGTTTTCTACATTCATATTAGTACGATTTTGGACCTGAACCAGTCGATTTCAAAGGCAACAGCAACGTTATAGTCTACCGAGTGAAATACAACGGCTAATGTTCTTCAGCGTTTTCATTATTACTTCAGACGTTGGTCGTTTGGCAGGAATCGAAAGTGTTGGACGTGGTTTGGTGTCTTCAACGCAGATTCATTTACCAGAGAGGAAGTCAAATCTGGGTCACTGAAGCATATCACGGCACACTAGACCACTTGTTGCTTTTCTCTCTTTGGTGGGACCTCTGATAAGAGTACAATTCTGACACATTTGTACCAGAGCCAGATCAGCACGTTTTACTCTCATCCAGCCTCCCCTCCATTCGCATTTAACGTGCAGAGCATAGTGTCTCTCTTTACTGACGGGAAAAGACTTAAGGTCGTACTTTTCTACGCACAGCAACACTTTTTACCATAAAAATACAGTTACGCTGGATTTTTAAAAGCTGTTTGTACAAACTAGACTATACTAACTTCACAACAGGAAGAACCGCACACTTTGAAGAGCGCTGTGCAGTTAAAAGAGCCGTGTTTGAGCACATGTGTAAACCGTAGCTTCTGGGTTTTGCTAATATCCCCTGTCAGTCCGAAGCGCTGCTCTGAGGAGTCACGAACTGTTGGGAGGGGCTCGATAGAATCAGCCAATCAGCTCCGACGCCAGGCCTGCCTTTAAGCGAACGGCCGGGGCGTCGAATTCAAACCCCGCCCCCTCAACAGAAGCACCGCCCCCTCGGCCCTCTCTGCTCGGTATATGTTGGAGGGGAGCGAGCGGCGGACTGTTCTGGCTCGGCAGAGAGACGGAGGGACACGAGCAGCGCCTCAAAACACACAGCTCAGCTCTAGTGGGAGACCACATCTGGAATTACTTTTTAAGATCTCCGTCTCTCGGACCCCCATCACTAAAAAGCAGTCGTGGCAAACTAAGAATTTAAAGGAAAAGAAAAGCTGCGCGCCAGGATCCTGGTTGGTCCTCCAATGAAAGATCAACTGCAGCTCACCAGTCCAGAAGTAGCAATGTCGGCCACCATCCTGTCCGCCTTCTACGAGATCGACATGCTCTACAAGGCGGTGAGTGTTCGGTTTGCTTTAGAAAGTGGCTTTTTGCTGTTAACCTTGCACGTAGTGGATGTGAGGTAGAGTGAACTTACTTTAACTGTGGAAGCGGCGGTGCTGCTGCTGCTGCTAGCACTAAGTTTGCAGGCACCACCAAAACTTTAGCTCACAACTTTTGCTGCAGGCTAGCGCTAGCATGCGCTTTCCTAACTGTCACTAAATGACTGTAACTCCTGGAAGACGCGTTAACAGAGCGCTCTGTGGTGTTTTCAGCGTTTAACTCTCTCTCTATGTCTCTCTCTCTCTCTCTCTCTCTATGTCTCTCTCTCTCTCCCCACAGCAAGAGAAGAATCTCAACATGAACGCGCTTCACTTTAACAGCATGCTGGACAAGAAGGCGGTGGGCGCCCCAGTGTCCAGCTCGGTCAGCGGCAACAGCTGCTCGTTCGCTCCGGGATATTTCCGCCGCAACTCGGCCGGCAGCGCGGACTCGCCAAACAACGGCAACAAGTACTCGGCGTGCTCGTACAAGGACAACAGCTGCAGCAGCGCCGCCACCACCGCCATGCTGAACAAGGAGAACAGCAGCAGGTACCGCGAGCGCGCCTTCAGCGAGGGCGGGGAGCGCGCGCAGGCGCAGCAGCCGCAGCAGGCGCAACAGAAGGCGGCGTCGCAGATCAACTCGACCCGCTACAAGACGGAGCTGTGCCGGCCCTTCGAGGAGAACGGCGCGTGCAAGTACGGCGAGAAGTGCCAGTTCGCGCACGGCTACCACGAGCTGCGCAGCCTCACGCGCCACCCCAAGTACAAGACGGAGCCGTGCCGCACCTTCCACACCATCGGCTTCTGCCCGTACGGCCCGCGGTGCCACTTCATCCACAACGCGGACGAGCGCAGGCCGGCGCCGGCCAGCAGCGCGACCGAGGCTAAATGCTCCTCCTCCAGCGGCTACGGTGCTCGCGACGCGCCTCCCGTCGGTGTGTCCGCCTTCCGGGACAGACCCAAACTGCACCACAGCCTCAGCTTCTCGGGCTTCTCCACGCCGCACGGTCTGGATTCGCCGCTCCTGGACACAAGCCCCACGTCCCGCACGCCCCCGCCCCCTTCGTCCGGCCTCTACGAGGACGCGCTGGCGCAGGGCGCCTTCCCCTTCGCCACCGGCCAAGAGATAAAGGCCCTGCTGGCTCCTCTGGCCGTGCACACGGCCGCCGCCAACTACGCCTCGTACTACGGCAGCTTCCAGCCCCCCATGGGCGGACCCCCCTCGCCTCCTTACAACCTGAGCCACCTGCAGGCGCTGCAGCGCCTGTCGGAGTCGCCGGTGTTCGACTCCCCGCCCAGCCCGCCGGACTCCATCTCCGACCGGGACAGCTTCGCCAGCGGCTCGCTCAGCTCCTCCGGAAGCCTCAGCGGCTCCGAGTCGCCCAGTCTGGACGCTGGGCGACGTTTGCCAATCTTCAGCAGGCTGTCGATTTCTGATGATTAAACGTTTTGAGGGTTGTTGTTGTTTTTTTGGGCTTTTTTCTACAAAATGTGGGATTTTCTTGCTTTCTTTAACGGACTGGAGGAGCTGAGATTCCAGCAGCAGCAGGCAGCAGTGTCTCCTCCATGACGTACGAGAGTTTAACAGACTTCAGCATCCAGGGAGATGGATTGTCACACCCTTGACATGGCATTAGTTTTTGTTTGTTTTTGTTTTTCTTTCTTTCTCGTTTCTGCTTGAACTGATAGCTATGAAAGTAGATATCAACAGAAGGCATTCCATCGGTGACTCAGAGCTGCGTTGTGGCAGCCGTGTGCTTAGAAGACCGTCACTTTTCCGCAGACACGTTTTTTGCTCGTGCACAAAGACTTCTCTTCCTTTGAACGTGAAAGACAGAGCGGTTTCAGATTTTCCTCCATCCTACCAAGAATATGCCTTGACGAGTATCAGTTTGCAAAGTAGCTCCATGTATGCGCTTCTGAAAGCTTAAAAACAACAAAAAACTTTCCATTCCAAAAGTTTAACCAGTTTCACAGCGCCACCCAGTGGTTCGGTTGGTTAGTGTAGTTTGTTGCTTAGTTAAAGCACTCTTGTTCGGTTTGTTGGGAAATCACTGCTGATGGTTGAATATATATTTTTTTAGCTGTTTTGAGTGATCACATAGCAGTACATAACTGGCTATGAACTATTTAACTTATTTATTATCTTTGTGAAAAAAGTATAGGCTACATTTTGGTAATTGTCCATACTGTATTTATCAAGTATGTTGAAGCAATAGATCTATATTCTTTTATTATGTTTAAATTATGATCGCCATTATTAATCTACATAAGTGGAGTGTATGTTCTTTTCACAGTAATATATTTTTTTTGTTTGGTCTCCTTTTGTAACTTCACTTCGTTATTTTATTGTAAATGAGTAAAAAAAAAATCTTAATTTAAGAGATTGTATGTGATATTTATTTCATAAAATTTGTTTCCTTGTTTACGTTCATTAAAAAAAAACAATGAGTGATTGCCGTTTGTCAATGTTGCTTGTGGAAGACCTTTTTTTCTGGGGAGAACCCCTAGATGTGTCCCTTTTTTCTTTTTTTTAAAGAATGTATAAACTGTGTGGTTGTTAAGACCGTCCAAACCATTAGTAGGTGTGGTGTGTGTGTTTTAAATTTTACAGTCAGTAACAAAGATCCCAAGTAAGTAAATTAACCAAAAAGTATTGTTTTTCTGTTTTTTTTTGTTTGTGTTTTCTCACTTTTCCTAAAAATGCACAGAGTCAGGTCAGGACTCCTACCATGTGCTTTGAGAATGTAGCAATCAAGTGCCCCAGTATTATTATTGTGTAGTGCCTAAAGGGGTCCACCATCTTACATGCCTTACAATTAACCAAATAAAGTATTTTCATACATGCTATTGTTTTACACAAGAGGATTGAATGAATGTAGGTTTTGAATTTTTTTTTAACTTTTTTGGAAGGTTGTCACCACTTATGAAAAGAGGGCTTGGAGCAACCAACGAAGCTTTTTCTATTATTATTATTATTATTATTATTATTATTATTATTATTATTTGGATTTTTTTTTAAAAAAAACTCCCCATTCCTGTAGACTATAGTTGGACTTTTTTGTTCTCTTGGTTGCCTTCGATATGGTCCATTCTGTTCTGGACTTGCTGGATGGGGAAGAGGTTGAATATGTTTTTGTTTTGTACATAGTAGGTACACGGGATGGGCACTATGTACTTTTCTTGACTACTTTTATCAGAAGTAAAGCTTTTTGAATGTAACTTAAAAAAAAACGGACAAAAAAGACGACGAGTTGTAACATACTTGTTTCTGGGGAGTCAGTTCACTACAGTTTTGCGTGTGAGACTGTTAACTTTGTACTGTACATTTTTGTTTTTTTGTAGTTCTCCCAATAAAATTATTTTGGAAAAAAAGCAGTGCTGGAATGTGCTCCATGTGGTTGTCATTGAAAGACTGGAGCGGTCTTGCAAGTCATACTTCTTCAGCTAGTTATTTATGAGCTCAGAAAATGCAGACACTCACCAACACAGCACCGTTCTGCTGGAAAGCAACAGGAGCAACATATTTCCTTAATAGTCTTTCTATGTTTCTCAATCCCTCACTTTCTCATAGCCAGCAGGGCTTTCGGCAGCAGTTCACTGTGGTTTTGATGGCCTGTGGGGAAGATCATGGGTTTAACGCCCATTCACAAAGCTTCCATCACTGCAGACTTAAAGAGGCTGCCACTGGGGATATGGAGAGTTCATCTGAGTGTAGGATCAAAACCTGTTTTTCCACAACAACGTATCAGATTACCAACATGATTGACGATGGCTTAAATGCTCATGGACACCCATAACTTAAAATGAAAGGTTTCGAGATGCTATCTTTGCCAAAATCAGAAATACACGTCACATTCACCTCCTGATATTTTGAATCCTCTGTGAGCCATAAAATTAGCCCATATTCTCCACCAATCTTTGAGATGGGATGGTTTAAACTTAATCTTAAAACCATTTCGCTGTTGTCAGAAGGAAACCTTGTATCTCCAAAATGGTAGCTTTACAGGAGAAGGAAAAAACCTACTTTACTTTTAATGTAAGTCAATGGAACCAGACTTCTTTCCAAGTCATTTTGGGCCGTTTCTTTTGGTCCATTCATCATAAAATTTACACACAATGTAAAGGGCAACGGGCATTTTCAATTTGTGTAAAAAACTGAAATGGAGATACGAGGTTTTCTTCCGACAGCATTAATATATGAGGCCACAGATCTAATAGAGTTCATTTACTTACTGACTCACCAAAAGAAAAAACTTTGATATAAACACTCACTAATACCTGCTGTGAAGCTTTCCAGATACAGCTGTAAATCCCCCCGCTATACATGTCGGTAATTTCCTGTTTAAACATGCTATGAGGACTTCATTCCAACATCCAGACCCTCTTGCCCTGGTGCGAAGGGTGTGGCTCTGTGATTTCTCACTAGCAGACAGTGCTCTCAATCACTCAGGCTAAGTCACTCGAAGCCCTAAGTTTAACCGTATTTGTTTCTTTTGCCCTCTTTTAGAGGAATCAAACTCATTTCAATTGTACTTTTGATTAGTTATCAGTTCCAGCAAGCCATTAAGAAAATAAAGGGGCCGGAATCCACGCAGTGTTGAGGGTTCAGGGCGAGATAAGGAGGAGCGATAACATCCCTGAGCAAATATTTACAGAGTCCTGCTGCATTTCATAATGAAGTGTTTATAACAAGCCACAATGAGCAGCTCAGAGCCAACCCGCGTGCGAGAGCGTGTTCGTGTGACATAGAGGGTCTTTATTGAGGGTCTTTATTGCGCATCTTTGCTGTTATCACGCTGTATTTTACTACATGTTTAGTTATGAATTGGTATATCTCTTTTAAGCTTTCTGAATTAGCATGCAGGATTTAATGTTTATGATAAAGAGTGAGAGAGAGAGAGAGAGAGAGAGGAGAGAGAGAGAGAGAGAGAGTATCAGCATGGTTAATGGGCCTAAAGCTCCTACAATGACAGGAAACACTCTTGACTTCTGATTATGGCAGGAAGAGCCCAGTTCCTCACCTACGCCCACTTCCAGCCCTTCTCTCCTCTGCTGCTTTTGTCATTTTTATGAGAGCTTTCAGTCGCTCCATTCAGCTCCTGGAAGTTTCTATTTTGTGCCACAGTGTTTCCTGAAAGAGTGGTGGGGCTTCCTGAAATGCTGCTGCCACATTTGCTAAGAAAGGCCTTCAAGCCTAAATGTGTGGAGTTTTTGCTACTGGGCTTGTTGATGGAGGTCCGGGAGCCAAATAATCAAGCATAACTTCAGACCTTCGAGCTTGAAAGTGATCTGCCTAAAATACAAATGAACAATCCTACACAGTTTTCATAGTACCTCAAATATAGTCAAGCAGTCAGGACATGTGTGGTGTCCAAAGTCTGCTTCTTTAGTTTTGTGCTAATGTAGCTAACAGTAATAGAGCGGAATTAGTATTGAGGAAACTGTGTCGAGTTGTTAAATTTCATATATGTTTTGTGGTTTCAGACACTTTAACATATAAAAACTCTGAATTCAGGCTTCAGTATGACAACTGCTATTTTTATCTGTGTCTATAATAGTATATCAGACAGTTGGTGAGGTATCGGCTTCCATTACTAGTTAGCTGTTTTTTTGGATGGCAAAAATGATACTGTTTGATTTTTGTGAACTTTTGCGAGCAACATGAATTCACTCTACCAGTATTTCTGTGGTTGGCGAAGCAACAGCTAAGCTGATTGGACGGTTGGTTCCCAGCAAATACAACTTTTAACAAGCATCAAAAGGATCAGTTTGTCCACTGCTTTGTCATGGTACATATGGTGCTCCTAAATCAGCTCAAACTGGGCCACAGGCATCTAAGCTATAAGTCAAAGTCCTAATAGAAAAGTCTGTTCACTAGGCGGCCGTCTTGGCAACGCCACTGGGCAGCTACAAGACCCAGATCCTATCTCTTTGAATGGGGAGAGACAAAAATACTTACAACTAAAGAAAATTACCATTTCAATAACATATTTGAAATCACTGTGTGAGCAGCAAGCTGATTGGCTCTTTTGTTCTTGAAGGGTGGTACGTTCTCCACAAACAGACACCATGTTTAGTCTTATGAGCTTTCCCATTCATTTCCCAACAAATCTCCTCCTTTATAGTATCATTGGTTAAGTGAGAGTCTCCATGACACTTTGGCTTTCCAAAAAAGTAAAAACAGCGTATCCAACGGCACCTTTTGTCTTTTTGTGATGAGCAAAGGATGTCTTTGCTACTTATAGACATTCTGTAGTTTATTTTTTGTTACGGTGTGAACAACATGACAAAATTAAAAGTTTTGCAACCTCATGACTGGTAAAGTAGACACTATCACCATGGCAACATTTATACAGCTGCATCAATGAGGCACGAAACGGGATTTTATGTCTGAAACGTAATAAACACTGCCGAGTCAGACAGTATACTGAGGCGGGAAGACAGCCAGTCATGTCTGAATTGCCTGTGTGAATAAACCCCTGTCTGCTGAGATCCTCCATTAGGCTGATTTTTGAAGCCAGTTTTTTTGTAGATGGATCCTTTGCTGCCTCACATATCCCATAATCCTTTGTGTCAACTCTGATGCAGCTAGGAAAAATAGCAGAAAGCACCACAATGGAGGAGAGAGACTGGTTTGTACATAAATACAGTACTTTTTAATTTGGCTATAAAAAGTTCAGCATGCAGGTCTCCTCAAAAGACTTTTTTTTGGGGCAAAATATTCGAATGTGTAATGCTAACAGCTAGCATTGAGCTGTCGTATCCTAGCAACAACATGATGTGGCAGCTTTTGAAATGCATCTCAGATATGATTCAGCTTTCTAAGGCAACACAGCACAGGCAGCCAGGCATCATGAGCACTGCCTTCAGTTTCGGACACAACCTTACAACGTTTCGGACACAACATGTACAGTCGACTCTGAAATTTCTGGAATTGAACAGGCCTGATTGCCACTGCTTCTCCTGACTGACTTCAAAACGACAATTCGGTAATCTAAGCTTACTATAAATAAATCAAAGCACTTTACTCAAAATTTTGTACACGCAGAATTACAACATTTATAGTGATACTTAAATATTTTTTTAGACGTGATTTTTCGCAACTAAATTGAACTTCCTCACAGCGTTTGGTGAGGAGAAAAAGGAGAAATATGCAGTGCACAGAAGTGGCTGAAATTAGGTAACAGCCAGTTTTGGGGGGGGTACATTATGCAGCTATACTCAGCTGTAGTTAGCAATCAGAAACTCGTAGTCTTCAGCCGTTTGCCCTACACATCTATGGCTAGTGCTGTAAAAGATAATGTTAGGATTCTGGTTCATTTGCCCTTACTTGAGCTAGGGTGCTGTCATCTGTTATAGTAAGTTAACTAGACATTTAAATGCGAGGTCAGTAATTTAACATAATTCTTTTTCTCTCTGATTGTGGAAGCTACAATGAAGTTGGCTAGTTAGTGGCTGTCAACTTCACTATGGTGGAGTCTCTGCAACATAATACTTCCTTGCTGTCCCCTCATCCTGTAAACCAGGTACTAAAATGAAATTCTCTCTACACAACTGGCATAGTTTTGGCAATTATATGTCACCTATA